ACGGACACGATCCGAATATTTTTTACCCGAACCCGACATCAAGTCGAGTGTGGGTTTATAATTTTACCCGACTCGAACCCGAGTATTTCATATTCTAAAACCCTATCTACATATATAATGAACACTCCGTATAATCTCTTTTTTTAATTTTCTAGCGCAACCGCAACTCTCTCTTGGTCCTTACATTACATCTCCATGTGTTTTCCATTCTCCTTGTATGATTCTTCGTTCCTTGCTTCTGTGGTATGTCTATTGTCTTGTTCGCATTTCTAGCCACGTAATCGTCTTGACAAGGTACTACTATACAATATGTGTGTGTGTGTATACACACACACACATACATACATACATACATGCATATATACATACATACACACACACACACCCACACACACCCACACACCCACACACACATACAAATCACGTATTCCAAACACGCATAAAAAAATTATACAGGACAAGAGTTAACAAAATATTTTATTTTATCAATTGGTAACCGAAAAAATACACACAAATAAAAATAATCTAGAGGTCAGAGAAATAAGTGTGAGGATAAATCTGGGGCAGAAGGATTAATTTTTATATAAACACGTTGATTTTGTCAATGGAGAGAATACTATTTCATTCTCTGTACTTTTTTTATAAGTCATATAGTGATATCAAAATAAAAAATTTCAAATGTACATGTACATACAAATTAAATTTATTTTTTTCTTTGGTTCTATGACTTCTATCCAAAGCCAAATGTGTTAGTAACATCGTTGATTATAATAGCAAAGTAATGTACTACATATTTATTCCTCCATTCAAAAATCTCATTTACAATTAGTTTTTCAAGGTTAATTTAAAATTTTTGAATTTCATTGTAAAAAATATATTTAATTATAACATAAATATAAAATAAGTGACCTAATTTTAAAATATATCCCAATGTAATTTTGATATATCAAATTTTTACTATTCTTTATTTATCTACAATTAAAATTTAATTATTAATTATCAAATATCTTATTGATAATCAAGAAGAAACGTTCATTAACAATTATTCTTGAGAACGTAAGTTGTTTAATAGATCGAAGTGGCTCATCATTCAAGGCAAGACTAACTATAGGGCCTATACAAAGAGTACGTATAGGTGCATATATTGGTCACTTTATCATTGAAGATTGTTCATTTCAAATCTAAATCGAGAGATGCCAGAGTCACAAAATAAGCAATTTTACTAGTATTTGTTTTTATCTCATCGAATAAAATTAAATAATTTTCAATAGTTAAAGTAAAAATTAAAACAGGAAGTACATAAATGACAAATTTGTATGTTTTGCGACACTTCTATTTGTAACTCTAAAATGAAAAAGAGCGTCAGCACCGAGAAAAAGCCCTCTTCGCGAGGCACCGAGAAAAAGTCTCCTTCCTGAGGCACTAGAAAAAGCTCCGAGAAATAATGGATTCCATACACACACACACGTTAATAAATCTATATATATATATATATTCCATTATGCGTGTGTGGCAAGAATTGTGAGTGTCAACGAGGAGCAGCAGTCTATCGAGAGGGTGGTGGAAATACATCAAACAAGCAGCACTTGTGTAATTCTCATACCCTACGACCGATTTTCGGGCATTCCATATATATGATGACCCCGCAAAAGACGATCACTCCCAAAAGCCCCCATATCAAATGCAATATCTTTGTCTTTGAAACAACAATCTGCGATTGCATTAATTTTAAAGCACAAGTACTCTGAACAAATATAAAATATGACAAGTTTTGGACAGAGCCAATCTCATTGCTTCACATTTTTGGGTCGGGTGGAAGGACGGATGGTTCTCGACGCCGGGAGTGTTTAATTATACTCCTTCCGTTTCTTAAAACCCTTCTTCTTTCATTTTTTTGTTTTTCTTAAAACACTTCCTTTATCTATTAAAAAACCACTTGTACCCTTACTTTTTCATACCATACCTATCACATCATACTTTTTCACTAATAACTAAATTATCACATCTTACTTTTTCTCATCACATCAAGGGTAAAATTAGAAAGTCAACTAAAATTACACTTTCCTTATTTTCCCCCAAAGTCAAAACAGGAACCGTTTTAAGAAACGGAGGGAGTACTATATAAATGCATACCTTGATTAGAAGAATGAGGATGAGCGCCACCAGAGCGCCGGCCAAGAAGGGAGGAAGAAAGGGCAGATCGGCGCCGCCGCTGCTTGTTTTCCAGACAGCCCCGCATAATGTGAGCAAGGTAAGTGCAGCGAACACAAGTGCAATAACGCCGACAGCCATCATGATTGTCATACCTTTTTCTTTGTTTCTTTCTTTTTTTTTTAAGAAAAAAAAAAAGTAACCAATCAAAATTTAACATAAATTAATCTTAACTATTTAAAATAATTCACACATTCACCCCGCCGATCCATCTTTCAAGTCTCATATACTCATATCGTGGTGGATCTACGCTTTAGAAGTAGGGGGGCATGACCCCAACTAATTCTTGGGTCGTCTAATGTGAGTGGCGGAGGAGAGGGGGGCATGCCTGGGCACGTGCCCACGGGCGACCGGCGTTGAATCATGATAGAATTTAGAATGTGTATGGACAACTGGATTGGGCAATAAGACACTTGGGCTGAATCACATTAAAAGACCGAATACAGTCGATTAGTTAGTTCAACTCAAGAGCTTATGTACTGATTATTTTCCTCACACTTTTCCGATGTGGGATACTATTTAACACTCACCTCAAGTGGACCACCGGGTCATTTTGAATCTAACCGGTTGACCACTTGCAAATGAACTCACATTTCCTTGATTTTTTTGAGCGCCAACACCTAATCGAGGACCATGAGCCGCTGGGTATGTACTTCCAGACGAGCAATCGTGTTAAAAAGGCCACAGACCGTTGGGTCCATACTCCATACGGACAACTGGGCTAAAGACTAACGTGCCGCTAGGAATGAACGTCTAGACGGACACCTTGACAAACAAGGTGAGCCAAAACCTGCTCCGATACCATGATAGAATTTAGGATGGGTATGAACAACTGGATTGGGCACTAAGACACTTGGGCTGAATCACATTAAAAGATTGAATCCAGTCAATTAGTTAGTTCAACTCAAGGACTTATATACCGATTAATTTTCTCACATTTTTTTGATGTGGGATGCTCTTTAACAAACCACATACAACATACATACAACATGAAAGTAAGAATAAAAAAATCAGAAGAGAATCTACTCGTATTAATTAGCACCTTTTACATATGCGCAAACCACTCCAAACATGCAAGGCAATACGAGAGTAAATACCGCAATACACAAATAGTTCCATGGAATGTCGTGCGAGTATGATCCCGTTACTATGCCAACTGCATGTCATTTTTTTAAAACCATAACATCCACAACAAAATTAACAAAGATTTAGAATGTGTATGGACAACTGGATTGACAATAAGACACTTGGGCTGAATCACATTAAAAGATTGAATCCAGTCGATTAGTTAGTTTAACTCAAGAGCTTATATACCGATGTAGGATGCTCTTTAACACTCACCTCAAGTGGACAACCGGTCCCCTAATAAAGGACCATGAGCCGCTGGGTATGTACTTCCAGACGAGCAATCGTGTTAAAAAAGCCATAGACCGTTGGGTACATACTCCATACGGACAACTGGGCTAAAGACTAACAGGCCGCTAGGAATGAACGTCTAGACGGGGACACCTTGACAAATGAGATGGGCCAAAACCTGCTCCGATACCATGATAGAATTTAGGATGGGTATGGACAACTGGATTGGGCAATAAGACACTTAGGCTGAATCACATTAAAAAATTGAATTCAGTCGATTAGTTAGTTCAACTCAAGGACTTATATACCGATTAATTTTCTCACACTTTTCTGATGTGGGATGCTCTTTAACAAATCACATACAACATGAAAGTAAGAATAAAAAAATCAGAAGAGAATCTACTCGTATTAATTAGCACCTTTTACATATGCGCAAACCACTCCAAACATGCAAGGCAATACGAGAGTAAATACCGCAATACACAAATAGTTCCATGGAATGTCGTGCGAGTATGATCCCGTTACTATGCCAACTGCATGTCATTTTTTTAAAGGAAAATGATAGGGGTACACCAAAAGTGTACCCCAAACATCCCCCACCCCCTCCATCACCACAAATAAAAGCAAAAAATTTCAAAAAAAAATATAAAAAATAAAAATAAAATAAAATGAATGGTAGAAAGGAGAGTGGTGTACATTTGGAGTACACATTTGGTGTACCCCTAGCATATCCCTTTTTTAAAACCATAACATCCACAACAAAATTAACAAAGAAATAAGTAAAGGCCATCAAATTCTGAAAAAATGTAATCCCTCCATCCCTAAAACGTTACCATGATTTGACTTTTTTGGTCAAACTGTGACACCCTTGACCAAGAATTATATATAGTTTTAAATATTAAATATTAAAAAAAAATTGATGTTTCAAAACTATATTTTAGAATAAACCGAATTTTACAAAATTTACATTATACTCAAATTAAATATAATCCCCCCATACGGACGTTACCACGGCTTGACTTTTTTAGTCAAACCGTGACACCTTTGACCAAGAATTATATTATACTCCCTCCGTCCCAAAAAGCCCGACACGTTTCGAAAAAACTGCGTCCCGTAAAGTCCATTACATTTCTATTAAAAAACCACTTTTACCCTTTATTTTTTCATACCCTACCTATCACATCATACCTTTTTCTTAATAATCTATCCATCACATCCTACTTTTACCCATCACATCAAGGGCATTTTTGAAAAGTCAACACCAAAATATATCTCCCTTAATTTTCCAAAAAGTTAATATGTATCAATCTTTTTGGGACGGAAGGAGTATATAGTTTAAAATATTAGATATTAAAAAAAATTGAAATAAATCAAATTTTACTAAATTTACATTATACTCAAACTAAATATATTTTTTCTATAATTTGCGGTTAAAAGATGTCAGAGTTTGATTCTAAAAGTCAAACTGTGACGGTGTTTTAGAATTCGGAGGTGTAAGAATTAAATGCTCTCAGTTTTACGAGCGTAACTCACCCAAGATGGTGACAACGACTAAGACCATGAGGAGGATGAGCCCCCAAGTTGTAGCCATGAACGTGTTGACGGCGGGGGTGAAGAACATGGCGGCGGAAACGGCGGCGCTGAGGAACATTTGGGCCGAAATGGTTAAGTAAAGCTTGCGAACATTGCCCAAACGCCTCTCCGTCCCGTCGTCGGCGCGTGCACACAGACACCTACCCATCACACTCTTTGTATATGGATTTTTATTCTTAGGTTTGATTTTGTTAATTATATATATAGACCAAATTATGGGTATCAAAAAATACTTTTAATGTATTACTTCGTCTCTAATTATTTGTCATGTTTTAACTTTTTGCCATCAAAATTGATAAATTTGGACCATTATTTAAATATAATTGGTATTAGACATTGATACAAAAATATTTTTATTAGATTTATTTTATACTATATTTTTAAAATATGATTTTATTTAATTAATAAACCACAGAGTTTCTATTTATTTCGAGGTCAAAGGTCGAAAAATGTTGATATAAAAATTCAAAAATTAGACAAATATTCAGAAACGGAGATAATATTTTTTAACAATCTTTTACTAACATTTTTTAAGAGATATTATTGATCAAATATTAAACTTCAGTCAAGACGGTTAAGAAGAAATAGAGAGGTGGAAAAACAGCATAAAAATTACGTAGTCTTTTTTACTTTAACAAAAGAAGTACTAAGTGAATGAAAAACCAAATTCCACATATTTTGGTGAGGAAAAATGAGAGAAAATCTTTTTCTTTTCTTTTTCTTCAAAAATCCTTGAACCAAACACATGTTAATGTTTTCTTCCTCTTACTTGATGCAAATTTACGGCGTCTACTAGCCTAAAGACCGGCAGCAAGAGCAAGACCGGTTCAAAATGTATGAAAATTAGGGGTCAACGGTCTACCACGTTAGAAATAGAGATAACTACACTATTATGATTAGCGGACTTCTCTAATTACTGGGTACAGACTCCCGTCTTTGGCACTAATCTGAAATTGAAATTCTGTGTACAAAACAAGAGTAATGTTTTAAACACAAACAAAACAATCACAAAATTCACAATCTTACCAAATATGTAAAATAAAGGTACCAAATAATGGTTTCACATAATCAAAAAAATAAATATTTATATGCACAAAAACTAAGATTGTAAATTTTGTGAGAGTTTTATTTCTAACTTAAAGCATTGAATATAATAGATTCGTCATTGAATGCGCGCAAACCTTAATCCTTATTTGATGGGTTAAACATACACTCGTTCCCTCTTTTATAGACCTGGCAAAACAGAACTGGAATCAATTATCCGAACCAAAATATCCGAAACCGAAACTGAAACCGAAATGACCCGAAAAATGAAGATCCGATCTCTAACCAAAAACCCAAAATGATCCGAATCGAACCAAAATCGAACTAAATAATTCATATCCGATTTAAATCTGAAACCGATTAGATCCGAAACCGATAATATCCGAACTGAATAAACCCGAAATCGATTAGATCCAAAACCGATAATATCCGAACCCAATTAGAACTAAAATCGATAAATTCATAATTATGTTTGCCTTTCAATAAGCATATTATATTTTTAAATTTTTACTTTTATTATACCATTTGAACTAATTACATTACTTGCTCATTCCCTCATAAAATGGATTATCTTCTTGAAAAAAAGTACAAAATTTCATGCCTTAAATTTATTATATGTAAAAATTAAAGATAAGTTATACATATAAATGATAACGCACAGACAAATAAAATTTTCGTAATTTTTAAATAGTGAAGTGTGATATTCTTTTTGCGACGAAAAGATTATATACTGAATTGTATGGAATATCCAGATTTTATCCTAATTTCATCCCATTATAATAAATTTTATTCATTTGAGAGTTAATTTGATTAGTTTCAAACCAATTCACTCAAAATTAAATATATATGTTTTCATAATTTGTAGTCCAAATTTTTAAAATATGACTAAAAAGTCAAAAAGGAAAGATTATTTAGGGTAGAGATAATATAATTAGAAAAAATATAAAATAATATGAGGTATTGAATTGATGATAGATTGATAAATGTGATAAAACATAAAAAGAAACATGGATAGTTAAATTTTAATTAGAAAATAATATATATCCAAAATATATTTGATCTGAAACCGAAATATATCCCAACCAAACTAGACCCGAAACCGAAATATATCCGACTCAAATTGTATCCGAAACGAAATCTATCCGAACCGATTTATAACCGAACCATATCTGAACCGACTCCAAACCGAAAAATGTAAAGAACCGAATCAAATCCGAACCGAAATTTAACCGATCCGAACCGAACCGATTATAACATATAACTAAAAGATATTCGAAGCGAAAAAATCCAACCCGAAACCGATCCGGTTGACCCGATTGCCACCTATGCTCTTTTATATGGCTACAACTAGCATAGCACACACTTTGTGTGGGTGCCCAAATTTTAGGTACTTCATTTTAGTGAAAAGGGATTTGAAACTATATAAAAATCTGTTTAACAAAATGGGTATTCTCTCTGCACCAAAAAAAATAATAAAATGGATGTAAAGCTGCATTCACTTCAAAACACACATAAAGGAAGATGCATATTTGTACAAAAAAATTTCCCAAACCATACGACTGGAAGCTTTTAGTCAAATGCTTAAGTAAAAAACTCCTAAAAGGATACCTTAGGAAATGATTTAATGGTTTTTCTTACTTATTCTTGCCCAAAAGACTTGCTTAGTATGACAGGCCTCCATGTTTAGATAGAAGAGGAGCACTCCAGACATTTGATTACTTCTAATAGTATTTTTTTCACCTGCATTGGTAATCACTGTGAGATTGGGTTTCAAATTTGGATATAATTTGTTGATAAGAGATATGTTTCCCAGACCACATACATATTTTAAAAGTTAAAGTTGTTAGGCCAGAAAAAAATGACTTGAAGAGCCTGCAAAATGAGTGTAAATTACATTTTCCTTCTGTCAATAAAACAGGCAAGAAAGGTAGGGTTGTGAATACCCTTTTGAGAAATATATTGATCCAACTTCATATATTCTATTTGAATTTTGAGTACTTGGATAATTTAAAATTCATTTATGTTACAGTTAATTTTTTTTGAACACTAATAACTCTATTACAATGTAGTATTTGTTCATACAATCTCAATTTATTAAAGCTCGTAGAATTACTGTTTGCACCGGGAATCGAACATGTGACCTCTTATTTAAGAGTGCCATAACAGTGTCATTGAAGTACAAGATCCTTGGCTGTAATGGTTGGTATATATCCTATGAATCAATTAACCTCCAAAAATTAGCCTATCAATCAATCGATTTAACAATTAGCAATCAATCCTAATAAATGACGTAGATCCCATAATATTGAAGTAAAATGAAAACAATACTCATAGTGAATGCATATAAAAGATTTACGAGCTTTACCTCTCATAAAATGAATTCATTAAGTAGATCATTAGCATAAGGATAGCTCAAAACATAAAGCTACATGATGATTTATTCTAATCTATCCTCCCAAAAACTTTTAATACACAAAAGTGAAAGAATTGAAGATGTATTTACTATGTGCTATTTTGAAGTAGAATACTCAAAGTAAACCTCAACAAATAAAAAATACTACTTATTCCCAACCCCTGATCATTCTTCCTTGTTTCCTTAGAGTTTGGGACTAACAAGGGTATCTTCTGGGAGTCCTAAATACCATCAATTTTGAGCTTTGCACTAATACTTAGGGTGTCAAAACATAAGTTTGTAAGCTTTTCTACAATTTCATTGTCACGATCTTATTAGCAACAACAACAAACCCTCAAGTATGAAAGCATATGAAGAGGATAAACCTACTCGAAAGCAAGGTACAAAAGTCTCACACTCTAATAAGAAATAACATCTTCTATTTAAAATGTAAAATCAAAACACACCGCACCCATGAGGGTCTAAAATCGGGTAGACAATTTAGTTCGAATTCAAAATTTTAGGTTTCTATTTTCACAGTGTTTTGATTCATCTCGCAAGCAACTCAAAAAATAAGTCTCAATCAAATCAAGCAAATCTATATTATCCCTAGCTAAGATATCCAGTTTCAAATGATGAATTTAGAAAAAGCAAAAGTTGTTCTTTGTTGTAATACTCTTAAATACCAAACACATGGATCTAATCTATGTACCAATTACTCAAAAAGGATGAAAGCAAGAGAAAATGTCCAACAATTTGATTTCCAATTTATGAAGCAACCTTAGAAGACTAAACTGAAAAGGAAAAATCTAAAAATCCAAATCAAACGCATGTAGTAAAGTACAACAACAACCAAGTTAAAAGTTAATTCAATTTGATAAAACAAGCCAAATATAACTTAAAAAAAGTAATAAAAATTCAAATTTTGTACTTTATTCACACAAACATCTAGACCCGAGTACAAAATTAAGGTTAATATCCACGCTAAAAATAAGAAAAAGAAAACAAAACAAAATTTCCCCAAATAAAAGAATCACCAATGGGGAAAAAGAATCAAGTGCAGTAAGTTTGGAACTGTGAGGTGGTGCCATGGTGAGAAAATTCAGAGCACGGGGTGGGCAGTGGGAGGTGGAGAAGAAAGAAATCATCGTGGGGTGAAAGAGGTTAGAGATGAGCTGTAGTGGGGTGGTCGTATTGGGTTAGAGGAGGATGTAGTTAAAGAGCCAATTTCCATTGAAACTAAATGTGAACCAAAAAAGAACCTAATTCACGTATTTGTTTTTAGATTAGAGTTGAATGTAGTTACTAAGTGGGGTGAAAAAGAGAATATGGAAGTAACCAAACTAAAAAGGTTGATCTAAATTCATGCCTGGGAATGAAACAAATTCTAAAACAAAAAACACTTTCGATAGAACGATTTAGATAGGTATTGTTTTTTCTAAAACAAAAAACATTACATTGCAAAGTAATACAGTAACTTTAGGACCACAAGTAAACAAAACATGAAAACTGAAAACAACAACAAAGAAAAGCATTTGAAGTTAATTTTTTTACTCCTTGTTCCTGTAATTTATTTTAAATAAGGTACGATTCTTTTTCATTGACACTTGTATTCTCAATCTATTAGGCTTCTGCAATTGTGTTTTAGTTCATGCATAACTCAAACTGAACCAGTTTTTTTTAGATTAGCTAAAAATAGTATGAATTCCATTTTCATCTCTTAGGCTTTTTGAAATCAAACAAAAGTGTGCAAATAACACTGAACACTAAACACACAGTGAAAAAATTATGCAGTAAAAAAATCAAATTGCCACCTTCTCACAAAAAGGTATATACTTTATACCCAATACATGAAGTTGCAATTCAAATCAAAGGAATTGAAAGTACATGAGTTCCGAACAACAAAATGGTAAAAGATGACACAAAATAAGAGAAAAATACCGAAAAGCTTGCTATTGAAGGAAGCCAAATTTTTAGATACTTCACTGTTGAAGATCTCTAAAATACCAATCTAGAAACAAAAGAAAAAAGTGTAGTCCAATGAGCCATGAATTTACATCATCGGCAAAACGGCAGGGAAAGGTGAGAACTGAGAATTTGACATGGAGTTTAGATTTTGGAATAGATATAGATGAGATAAGAGGAGAAGTTAGGGCGGTGGAGGAGGTAGTGTGTGGTGGACAGCAGTTCCGTGACTTCCGTCAATTAGCTAACGGAAAAAAAAGCTATGAAACGGAGAGATAACACCTTCGGCTATTACTCCCTCGGTCCCACTGTTTTTATCCACTTTCATTTTTACATATCATCTAATGCACTTCTTTAATCCATTTTATCTTGTAATTTGTATATTAAAAAATTATAAAAATTATATATTAATAATCTATATGTTAAGAAAAATTAAACAAGATCACACATGACTATATTTAGGCTTACACATTGAGAGAATTTAATGAGTCAAAGTACCTAGATGAACAATTTCAAAACTTAAAAGTGGACAAAGAGAGTGGGATGGAAATAGTATAATATAAGGGGTGATTAAAGTTAGAAAATACTCCGTACTCCTTTATTCTCCGGCCAAGACACAATTATTTTTGCTTTTTGTATAAATTTTATAAATAGTCTCTAATTAAAGATAATTTGCTGTATTTTAATCTTCAATTTTATGATTTTACATAAATAATACTCAAGTTTTTAAAGTTATTCTATAATCAATTCTTCAGATATTATACGTGGGAAAAAAAATTTGTTATATTTGGTCTAAAAGACTACTTATGAAATATTTCTAAAAAATTGAAAATCATTTATGTACTCCCTCCGTCCGGAAATAAAGTTTACATTTTGAATTTTGGTCATTTTTATTAATAGTTCTTGCTTTTTTGCCTGAACACAACCGCACCCAGCCCCCACCACCGCTCCCCTCGGCTTCCGCCGTCTCCAGAAGGCCTCACCACCCAACAAGAAATCGTCCTCATCAAAACAAGAAATTCAAAAAATTACGCTCATCAAAACAAGAAATTCAAGAAATCAATCTCACGAAAATATGAAATTCAAGAAATGAAAATTTTATTTTTGGACGGACGGAGGAATATCTTATAATTAAAATTATATATAGAAAAACAGATATAATTAGGATCCATTTATGAAATTTACTATATATTTGTATATCTTTATATTGATAATTTTGTTGGGTCCCGTATCCACAAGATCAAAGAAATATAGACAAGAGATGTAGGCAAAAGGCAAAAAAAAGTATATATTCTCCTACATTTCTTGTCTGTGTTTTTTGAGAACGCATATCCTGTGCACACGGTATTTCAGGCCCCACATATTTGATAGTCATATCATATTTTATTTTCTAATTTTTTTTATGTAATTTTGAAAATGTGCAAGTTTCATTTTGTATTTCAATATAATACAAGTACTGATTTTTAAATAAAGTTAATGTGTGAAGTTTTGGCTCATAATCAAGAGAGAGTATTAGAAATGCCAATGGTCAATGAGGTAATTGCCTCCTGTTTGCAAGAGAGAAATTATGAGAGGAAAAATTATTTGGTAGAAAATAAAATGGTAAAATGATAAATCATGTTTGGAAGAATAAAGGAAAATAGAGAGGGAGTGAAAATATTAAGGGTGTATTGGTGAGCAAAAGATTCATGGATTTTAATATCTCTAGATATCAAAATTATTTTTTTTAGTAAAATCAAAAGAGATATCGAGTGTCATATCTCTAGATATCGCAAATACTTCAAATCCAGGTCTTACAGATCTCTCAATTTTTTGGAGGATGTCAATATGAAAATTTGTTACCTCGGGTATCTCTTTCAACCGTTAACCATTCTCCACCCCTGCCTACCAATGTCACCGACTCACCGCCAACCACCCCGTTGCCAGTCAACTCCACATATCACTAATTAAATCTCTCTAACCAACTTCGTTTCAGATTTCAAAACTCATATTATTTCTTCCAAATCTGATCATATATCTAAAACTTATCAAAGAGGCTCTAAGTTATTTTTCCTCATGATTGTTCCCCCTCGAATGGGGTAAAAATTTTATTTTTTCTACATATTATATCCAAACAAGAGAAGGAAAAATAAAATTATTTTTTTCCTCACAATTTTCTATCATGAATATTTCTTTCTTTCTCTCAAAATGTATCCAAATAAGTGGTTAATGCTCTGTACGGAATACTTACTCTATCCTAAGGTATTACCAAGTAAGATCAAATGTGATTTTTTTTACTAAAAAATCAAAATATTCTTTTTGATCTACGGAAAAATGATTTTCTTTTATTTTCGAAGAAAATCAACCTCTGGCCTCGTCAACCCCCTAACCTAGCACACGCCCCCTCCCACCAGGACATCCACACCCACCCAACCTGCTTGTCCAACCCCCATCTCCCTGGCCCCTACCCCCACCCTAGGGGTAGGCTCGGGTCGGGACGATTCGGGTTTTATACCATCTCGTATTTTGCTTCGTTTTTTCAAATGGTTCGAGCCACAAGTTTATCTATCTTTGTCTCTTAATATTTGGGATCAGAATAAAATTAAACGGGTTCGGATTGTCCTACTTTGTTATTATCCGAAATTTGATATAAAAACATAAAATACATAAGGGGGAGTTATCTCACTTTGACTTGCAAAGTAATGAAAAAATGATATATTCCGTATTTATTTAGAATGTTTTTAAGAAGCCAAAATAATAATGAAAAATGAAAAATGTTACAACACACGTCAAAGTCAAGACTATAAGGGTCCGTTTGGTATACGGAATTGAGAAATTGGAATTGAAATTCCATGAGATTTAATTCCATAGAATTGAATTCAGCAATTCCAATTCATTTTTTTTACTATCAATTCCAAATCCACATAAGTTTTTTGCTACCAAACACCAGAATTGGAATTGATGTCCTCAATTCCAATTTCATAATTTGAATTCCATGTACCAAACGGGGCCTAAGTTTTATTTTCACTATGGGCCACACATTGGAGTAGTATGTCGGGTTAGAACGGTCTAGATTTTTTGTGTTCCAGTCTTAGTCCATTTTTTTAGAACCTTCGAAAATTTGGATATTTTTATATCTATTTTGCGAAAAATAAAAATTGAGATACTTTTTGTGTGTTATATCATTATACGGAGTGTGTGTGTGTGTGGAGCGTCTAAAATGATACCAGTTGCTTACACCAGTTCGTTTGGGTAGCTACGGTGCTCCGTTTGTAAAAACAATGGTTCCTACCCCCCCTAACCCTCCCCCTAAACCCCACACCCTAGCCCCACTCTTGCCCCCCC